ACCCTGGACAAGTCAGTTAAGTCTGTTTGCCTCAGTTTTCTCATCTGTAAAATGAGCTGCAAACCATTTCTGTGGTGGCAAACACTCCAATGTCTTTCCAAGAAAACCCCAAATGGGGTCACAAAGAATTGGATACAACTGAAAACAACATAATTAAAATGCCCAAAAAATTCACAGCAAGGAGACTGGGACAATTGCCATAAGAAGCTATCCTGGATGAGAAGGGCATAGAAATATGGGTAAAATTTCAACTGGAGGAAATGGAGGAGAATAGGGAAGGGTAAAGAACACTAGATCCACAGTTCAAATCCCAACTCAACTATTTATATATGGCAAAGCAAATGAAGTAGGCAAGGACCCAGATGCTAGAAAGTGAAAGGATCAGTTTAGGGACAGCAAATATGCTAGTGCACAGGGTATGTGAAAAGTAAATTGGAGCTTAATTGTAAAGATTTTTAAATGGCAGACAGAGGAAGCTGGATTTTATTCAGGAAGCACTAGGACCATTTGTTTGTTTTTGAGAAGTAGAATAACGTGATTAGACCTGAGCATTAGGAAGATTGATTCACAAATGTGATGGACTGGATGCAGAAGACGCTGGATATTGGAGAAATGGAAAGGACTATCGTTCTAGTCTAGCATTGAGGGCCTAAACTCGAGTGAGGGCAGTAGCAGTGGAAAAGATGGCATGATTTTAAGGGACATCGCTGGAGTAACGCCCACAGCACTCGGTGTCTGGTTAGATCCTCTTCCAATACTCTCAGGAGCACTGTGATGATGAGAACCATTTTCCCCCTTTATGATGCTAATCACCTGACCTGGCAAGAAGTTAAGGTAGGATAAAGAACACTGGATTCACAGTTCAAATCCCAACTCAACTACTTATATATCATCTGTGACCTTGGGTATGTTATTTCAGCTTCCTGGATTTCAGTTTCTTCTTCATTAAAATGATCAATCCACAAATATTATTAAATGCCTATGATGAGTCAGGCACTGTGCCTGGAGATACAAAGAGAGATATGGTCCCTGACCTCAAGGGGCTTATATTCTAATCAAGGAGACGACCTGCATATTATGTTTACACATATTACATGTATATGTACATAAAAGACATATACAAAGCAGATTCAAAATAATCTTGGTTACATGGAAGGCACTAGCAGGAAGGGCCTAAGGCAAAAGGTAGCTCTTATACCGAGTCTTGAAGGAAACCAGGAATTCTAAGAAGCAGAGGGAAGGAAGGAAACTATTCTAAGCATAGGCTAGTATGAAGACACAGAAATGGCACAGAGGAAATATGGTTTGGCAGCAAGGTGATGTAGGGGAATAGAGCTCTGGGCTTGGAATCAGGAAGATTCATCTTCCTGAGTTCAAATTCGGCCTCTGACATGTATTAGCTGTGTGACCCTGGGCAAGTCACTTAACCTTGTTTGTCTCAGTTCCTCGTCTGTAAAATGAACTGGAGAAGGAAATGGCAAACCACTCCAATATCTTTGCCAAAAAAACCTGAAATGCGGTCACAAAGAATTAGATACGACTAAAATGACTGAACAGTGAACAACAAAATAGTTTGGCTGGACCATACATAATGTTCGTGGAGGGGTGTGTAATATGTAATAAGGTTATATGTAAAGAGCTTTAAATGCTAAACCGAGGAGTTTATGTTTGACTCTAGAGGTAGTAAAGAGCCACTGACTTTAACGAGTAAAGGGAGAATGTGTGAGTTTGTGACATGCCAGGTCAGACCTATGGTCATGTTTGCGGCTGTGTGGGGGTTGGATTTACATGGAGAGGATCTTGAGGGAGGGAGACCAAGCAAAAAATTATTGCAATAGTAGAGGCCAGTGGTTCTTAAACTTTTTGGACTTAGGACCCCTTTACACTCTTAAAACATTATTGAGGATCTCCCTAAAAAACTTTTGTTCGTGTGGATTATATATTTATTGTATTAGATATTAAAGTATCTTATTATTACGAAAGAAGTTTTTGACCTCATGGACCGCCTAAAAGGGTCTCTGGGACCACCTGAAAGGGTCTCTGATACCCATGGGGTCCCCAAACTTCTCTTTGAGAACTGCTCTCTGGGTACGAGATGGTAAGGACCTGAAGCAGGGTGGTGGCTATGTGAGGAAAGAGAAGGAGACTTAGGGAAGAGATGGTCATTTTGGGCTTGATCTCCAACAGCCCTTCCAGATGTAACAGCCTATCACTCCCAAGGTTAAAATTAGTCCAGCTTCCTAATAGGAAAGTACTACAGATTCCATATCTCACAATCACAGAGTAGCCACAAGGCAGAGAACTGATCATTGAGGTCCTCATGGCTTTTACTCCACAATACTTTCATAAACCCTTCTCTAATTACCCAAGACTTCCCTGGTAATAAAGATTCAAAACAAAACAAAACAAATACACCTGTCCTGAAAAACCAACGTAACAAACATATCTGACCACATATAGTCTTCCCCCTCTTCAACAAAAGAGGGACATATACTTTCTCATCTCTTCTCCATAGTCAATCTTGGTTATCATAATTACATACCATTCAAATTTTTAAAATGTTTTCATTGTGTATAATGTTTTGTACTTCTGTTTATTATTTTTGTTCCTATGTCTTCCCATATTTCTCTGAATTCCTCATGTTCATTATTTTTTAAGGTACAATAATATTCCTTTATGTTCATGTACCATAATTCTTTAGGCCTTGACCTTATTTCTAGTTCTTTGCTCCACAAAAAGTGTTGCTGTGATTATTTTGTATGTGGGACCTTGCTTTCTATCTTTGATCTGTGAGATATGTAGTCAGTAGTGGAATTTCTGGGTCAAAGCGTATAGATATTTTAGTCACTTTCCCCCCTATACAGTTCCAAATTGTTTACCAGCATAGGTGGAGCAATTCACAGCTCCACTACCTCTGTACCATAGGATCATAGTACTTGAAGAGCCCTTAGAGTTCATCTGTAGGAGTTTTTAACCTGGCATTCATGGATCCCCAAGGGTTCTGTGTATTGTTTTCAGGAAGTCTGTGAATTTGAATAGGAAAAAGGTTACGTTTTTATTTTCACTAATTTCTAACTGAAATTTAGCATTCTCTTCAGTTATTTAAAAATATCACTCTGAGAGTTCCGTAGCCTTAACTAGACTGACAAAGGGGTCTGTGTTACACACAAAATGTTAAGAACCTCTGGCCTCATCCAATCACCTCATTTTACGGATGAGGAATTTGAGATTCTGAAAAGTTAAGTGACTTGTCCAAGTTCACAAGAGTAGAACCCAACAGAAAAAGCAGCACACTTATCTCCTCATAGCCTCTCCAACATGAATCATCTCTATCTTTTGTTATCTTTGCCAATTTACTGAGCACAGGGTATGCCTTCAGATTTACTTCAATGGTCATTGTCATCATTGACTTCGGAGCAATCTTTCAAATGATGTGAGGAGTTTACAATTCTTCACTGGAAAAGAGTTTGTTCATATGGTCAAGTCCAATGGACCACTTATCCTTTGGGGAATTACTCTTACATATTTGTTAGTTCTCTCCATATCTTGAATGTCATGCCTTTGTCACAAACGACTGTGGAGTCTATAAGGACTTATTTCAGAAATTATTCCTCCCCTCCGGGAAGCAGTCAGCAGCAGAGGAGTTAGGGACAGGGGTTTCTCACTCCATTTATGGTAGTGATGACTCTGATGCCCCTTTCCCTCTGGCCAAGTCCTTTCACTTCTCTATGTAGTTTTTCCATGGAACAAGGCCATGATACCTGATATCTCATCAACAGGAGCTCTGCTAATAGACTTTTAAAAATAAAATTGCTAAAAATAGCCCCAAAGTTCATTTCTTTAGTTTGTTATCGTAGGAAGAAAAACAAACTCATCTTTCTAGTGGACACCATCGTTGTCCAGAGCATTTGAGTGCCTCTGATAATGGCTGTGGATCTTTCAGCTCCTACAGCATTGAGAATTCATGCTGTGTGACTCACATAGGATAAGAGTTCTTTTACCATATGGTCTAAAGGGAAGAGAATGTATGTGTAACAGAGCAGTGTTGGTAGTAACATTTTTGACCATCTGGTAAATCAGTATACAGTGCGTGCAGCCAGGACTATTCATAGCATTTGTTTATCTATATGAACTCAGCTTTTAACCTGAAATAACCTCTGATACATTAAGCTAAGATGGAAATGTTTTCCTCAAATTTCTTGAAATTTGGCTCGTGTTCAAATTATTTTTCTGTCCATCGATTTGTTAACGGGAGTGGAGTTGGAGGACAATGAGAGAGTCTATTTATGCAGCCCGGCAGCTAGTCCGTGTTTAGAGAGCCACCTGGGAATGCTAAGAGGTTAAATTATTTGCTCAGGGTCACACAATTAGTATGTATCAGAGGCAGAACTTGAAGCCAGGTATTCCTGACTCCAAGGCTCTCCATCTAGTCACTAGTGTGGGTAGTCCACAATGGCTCTCAGTGATTTATTAAGAAGCCTTAAAATACCTTATTGAAAAAATATCCCATTACCCTATTATGTCTTAGTAGTTCTGTTATCACTGTTTTCAGAATTATACATTTTGGGGCAGCTAGGTAGTGCAGTGGATAGACCATCGATCCTGAAGTCAGGAGGACCTGAGTTCAAATCTGGCCTCAGATCACACACTTGACACTTACTAGCTGTGTGACCCTGGGTAAGTCACTTAACCCCAATTGCCTAAAAAGAAAACAAGCAAAAAAACCCAAACAGAATTATACGTTTCTTTTGATCTATCGTTTCAGTGTACCTGTGCTTTTCATTTTTCTTTTGTTTCTTAAGACATGTGTAAATATACAAATATTTTCAAAAGCCAAATTTTTATATCATAGCACGTTACTAGTAAAGCAAAAGGTTATTTAAATTTCTCATGCATATCTTAGACTGGAACAATCAAAGATTTAGAGCTGGAATGAATATTGGAGGTCAGTATTTCCTTCTAAACCTACCCTTATTCTGAACTTTTCTGTTTCTGACAAGGGTATGATCATCCTTCCAGTGACCAAGGTTCACAACTTTGGAGTTTCCCTGGATTCCTCAATCCGCCTTTCTCTGCACATCCAATCAGGTGCTAAGTAAGTCTTGTCCATTCAGCCTCCACAACAGTTCTCCCGTCTGCCCCCTTCTATCTACTAACATAGCCTCTACCTTAGTTCAGACTCAGGACCTTGTCATCTCTCCCATGAATTACTACCATAGTCTCCTAAGTGGTCTCCCTACTAACTGGCTTCTCCCTTCTATAATCCAGACTCCACACAGCTACCAGTGTTGCTCTTAAAGCAAAGGTTTGACCATATTGCTTCCCTGCTCCATAAACTCCAGTGACTCCTTATTATCTCTAAGATCATACACAAATCTCCATTTTTAATTTAAAGCCCTTCGCATCCAGGCTACAGTCTGCCTTGCGAGGTTTATCACATGCTAGTTCCCTTCATGCACTCTATGTTCCGGCCAAATTGACCTTGTTATTTTTCACATGCGACATCCCATCTTCTGTCATCACTCCTTTTGCACTGGCTAGAATGAACCAATTTATAACCTGCCCCTTAGCATCCTTAGTTTCTTTCAAAACTTGGCTCAAACCCCACCTCCTACATGAAGCTTTTCCTGATCTTCCTAGCTACTATGACTAGTTCATATGGACTATTTGTGCCCGACCTATGGCAGAGCCTTCCAAGGTCATATTGGTCTGATCAGCCAAAGTCAAATACACTGTACCTTGACCCCAACATAGTTATGTCATTTTGGTCCTCTTCAAGAATGAAAGACACCCTCCATGTCCAGAATAGTGCCTAGGATATAGTAGGTACCTAATAAATGCTTGCTAATTGATTGATCTAGTCTAATTCCCTTACGAGGAGATAGAGGCCCAGCCAGATGATATTACTTCACCAAGGTCACACACGTAAGAAGTGACAAAGTCCAATTTTGAACCATGTTCCTCTGACTATAAAAATCAATTTTTAATAGACTTGTTTGTTACCTGAGTACTCCCCAGACATTTGTGTTTTAGGTATCCTACTTGACACTAAGCAGATATTTACAACTAAGGGTTTTCTTGTCTAAGTTATTCTAATGATTCTTTCAATGTATCTCTCTTGGTTAAATGAATATTTCTTTCCCTTAGGCAGGACAGATCATGCCATGTAAAGACTGAATCTAAAATGGGAGGCCAGCTGAACCTACAGAAATCAGGATGGTTTCCTGAGTGCTTTCACTGCCATAGAGACTGAAGTTATCCATGTGAGCCCAAAGTATGAGATGTCCCTGGCCTAGTGACCAGTTAGCCTAAGATGGCACAGCAAAAGACTCATTTATCTGCTTAAGAGCCTTCAAAACAGAGCGAGTCCCAGTCAGCCATGGGAGAAAATGCAAGCATATGGTGGAACTTGCTAGGTGAACATCCACTCTGCACGGCCTGGAAGCAAGAAGCAGAAGGGTCCATTTATCACCTTGCTAGTATCTTATTCATAGTTGGCTTCATGGGAGGGAGTGGATTCTTTGGGCTCCTCTATGTATTCAGTTTGCTGGGATTAGGCTTCCTCTGTTCTTCAGTTTGGGCGTGGGTAGACGTCTGTGCCGCTGATATATTCTCCTGGAACTTTATCCTGTTCATCATCTGCTTCATGCAGTTTGTTCACGTGGCTTACCAGGTTCGCAGTGTCACCTTTGACAAAGAATTCTACGAGCTCTACAACTCTCTGTTCCAGCCTCTGGGGATCACGTTGCCTGTCTTCAGGAAGATTGTTTTGTGCTGCCAAGTGGTCTCATTGGAAAAGGAGCATTGTTATGCCATGCAGGGCAAAACACCCATCGATAAACTTGCTTTACTTGTGTCAGGAAGGTCTGTACCCCTCTCTTCACATTCTCTCTGTGTTAATGTGTTCCCTCTATGTTAATTGGTTTCCCATCTTACTGTGCACTGGCCCAAAGTAGAGTTTGGCAAGAAAAGGTCTAGTCTTTAACTGCTACCACTGGACCTTCCCTGTTTTTTCCATAATGGCGGACTGAATCATCCCATACCTGTGGCTACAGAAGCATTCCTTCACATCACTTTTGATGTAATAGGGAATTCTATGATCGAGGCATCTTGGATACAAGAGGTATCAATGAGGAGATGTAGGACAAAGAATTATGTAGCTGAAGCAGGTAATGTTCCAGGTCAAATATTTCTTCTTAGAAAATCATAGGAACAGCAATTCAGATAAAAGTGTGTGTCTATTTACTATCATGCTTTGTTATTACCAATCAAAGGCATTCCTAGCCAAGGAGAGAATGACACCAAGAAATCTAAAATCTCTTAAATTACATTATTGATTATATATATATATATATGTATGTATGTACATATTATCCTTCTAAGTAGGGAAAATGGGAATTTTATTATTCTCTCCCTATTACAATAATTATTAGCATTTATGAAGCAATGCACACAGTATGCTCCATTTTAGAAAATTTTAAAATACTCAAAATAAATCTTAGATCTTGTGAATTGGGGAATTTCCTTCAATGGTACAAATTGAAACCTACCCATGCCTGCCTATCTTGTGTAACTTTTGCCCATATCCTCCCTCAGGGAATCCATTCAACATGCCATATGCCTTCCTAGAAAATCAAGTTTAAAAAATTCAAATTTAGAGAACAGAAAATGGTGGTAGGGATGGAGAAGAAGCAGGTTTTCCTTACCTCCTTCCTTCCTTCCTTCCTTCCTTCCTTCCTTCCTTCCTTCCTTCCTTCCTTCCTTCCTTCCTTCCTCCCTCCCTCCCCTCCCCCTTCCTTCCTTCCTTCCTTCCTTCCTTCCTTCCTTCCCTCCCTCCCTCCCTCCCTCCCCTCCTTCCTTTCCTTCCTTCCTTCCTTCCTTCCTTCCTTCCTTCCTTCCTTCCTTCCTTCCTTCCTTCCTTCCTTCCTTCCTTTATCAATGTAAGGAATTCCTAGTGTGCTAATTCTTTCCAGTGATTCAGATCAGCAACCCATGTATAACATAATTTTACAGGCATGCTTGAGCTACTGACTAGCCCATGGTCAGACAGTCATTAAATGTCAGAATCAGAACATGAATCCAGGTCTTCTTGACTCCAAAATTGGCCCTCTATCCTCTAGGCCACATTGTGTCTCATCAACCATTCCACAAGGACTTATTATGGACCTACTCTGTTCCACATACTGTGTTAGGTGTTGAGGTTACAAAGGGAAAAACTAAGAAAACTTATGACAACAGCTTCTGGCTTCCATCTCTAGCACTGATTCTTGGGATGCCAGTGCCCCCAAGCCATAGAAAGTGAGGTGAGGAGGGAATACAGTCCAGGCAGGCACTTGGAGTGTCTCCACAGTTAGAGGACAGGATATTGTTAATGATCCAGAAAAGGAGAGTGAGAAAGGAGCAATAACACAGGTAGGGGAAGAACCAATGGATGATGAGGTCATGGAAATCCAAAGAAAAGAAGGTATCCAAAGGTTGGTCAATGACACCAAATGGTCTATACTTCTTTATTTTGAGCACAAAGATACTGTGAGAGATTCTATCAGATTCCTTTATGCAATTCATAGATTATATCTATAATATTGTCCTGAATTACTAAACCTAGGGACCCTATCTTAAAAGGTCTGGCTATTTTCAGATGAACCCTGTTGGCCTACAGGGATTTATTTCCTTTTGTACAGTTTCTTCCCTTCTTAAAGTTCACAACAGTACCTTTAAACATTTTAGATTTTATGAGGAATCAATATCAAGTTCTTGGGTCTGAAATATTCACCTCGATCCCCTTTTAGAAAATTGAGGTATAGCCAGGAGTGGTGGGTGGTTCACACCAATAATCCAGTGACTGAGGAAGCTGAAGTTAGTGGATCTCTTAAGCTCAGGGATTCTGAGCTGCAGTGGGCTAAGCTGATGAAGTGTCCAAGCTAAGATGGTGAGTCTCAGGGAACAGAAGCCTACAAGGTTGCCTAAGGTGGGGTGAATTGGCCCATATCAGAAATGGCAGGTTATAGCTCCTGTACTGAGCAGGTGGGACCATGCCAGTAAACAACACTTGTACTTCCAGACTGGGAGAGATGGGGATACTCATTCTTAGCAAGGCAAGGCAAGGCAAGGTAAATGAGATGGTTGCCCATCTTTTGTCTCTCAGCATCTTTCCAATTCACCATAATTCCTTAAAGGTTGCTGATAGTTATTCAATAGTCACATCTACAAATTATTTTAGTATTCTTTTTATTCTATGGTCCAGAAAATTGCATCCCATTCTCTAATGCCATTTTTAAAATCAACTACTTATTTCCTCTATCTTACTTTATCTTCTAAAAGCCTTACCTTCAGTTGGAAGAACTGATGGAAGTAATGCTTATGCCTCTGACTTTCTCTGTCTCCTGCCCAGGTTCTTTCTGGCAGTACCATTTGCTCCCAATCTTCGGATTTGGCCAATCTCAAGAAGCTCTCCATGACATTCAGAATACATGGCCAGAAAGATAGCATAAGTCCTAACGGGCCATATCAGGTCATCATACAAATACTCATATACCTCTTTTCAGAGAATTACCCGGCACAACTCTTCTTCTCTGGAGCCAATAACACATGCCCCCATTAAGGGATCACTCCACTTTTACTGGAATACTAGGGAACAGAGGGCTATTCCTCCACCCCTTTTGCCCCTCACCAAGACAAGTTTGAATTTAATGTCCACATATTTATTGATGGCAGCTAGGTGACACAGTGGATTGAGTCCTAGGCCTAGAGTCAGGAAGATTCACCTTCACAAGTTCAAATCTGGCCTCAGACACTTACTAGCTGTGTGACCCTGGGCAAGTCACTTAACCTCATTTGCCTCAGTTTCCTCATCTGTAAAATGAGGTGGAGAAGAAACAGCAAATCACTCCAGTATCTTTGCCAAGAAAACCCCAAATTGGGTCATGAAGAGTCAGACAAGACTGAAACTAGTGAACAACAACAACTTATTGATGGTGTGTGAAAGGAACACAAACCTGAAACAGGCAGTCTCTACAGGTTACAAGAATAATTCCCTTGCCCTTAATACCTCCAAAAACTGAAATTCTCTCTTATTTGAGAAAGCAATGTGGTATAATGGAAATTGTGCTGAACTTTAGGGTCAGGAGAGTTCAAATCCAGCCCCTGGTACTTACTTGCTATGTGACCATAGGTAAGTCTCTTAACTTTGCCTAGCCCAGGGGCAGCTTGGTGGCACAGTGGATAGAGCACTGGCCCTGAAGTCAGGAGGACCTGAGTTCAAGTCCAGCCTCAGACCAAACACTTGACACTTACTAGCTGTGTGACCTTGGGCAAGTCACTTAACCCCAACTGCCTCACTGAAAAAAAAAAAAAACCTTTACCTAGCCTCAATTCCCTCTTCTAGGAAGCAGGTTAACAAAACCTATAGTACTTTACCTAATGGGGTTGTAAGGACCAAATAAAATAATGTAAAATGCTTTGTGAATCCTTGTCTGTATAAAGTTAGAAATTATTATTTGTGATTTCCCTGGCTTATAACAATAACAAAAAATTATTTGTGCCAAACACCTGAGAGATGGTCCCCCCTTTCTTTTCATAAGGACCTTAAGCTTTCCCCTTTCTTCTATACTTTCCCCTCCTAATCTTTTGTTGTTATTCAATTGTTTTCAGTCATGTCTGACTTTCTGTAAACCCATTTGAGGTTTTGTTGACAAAGATAGATACTGGAGTGGTTTGCCATTTTCTAATCTAGCTCATTTTACAGATAAGAGAACTAAGGCAAACAGGGCTAAGTGACTTACCCAGTGTCACACAGCTAGTCAGTGTCTGAAGCTGCATTTGAACTCAGGAAGATGAATCTTCCTGACTGTAGGTATGGCACTCTATCTATTGCACCACCTAGCTGCCTGCTTCTCACCTACCTGGTGTGAACAGTCAGCAGTGAGCCATCCAATGTCCTAACTGACACAGCACCAGCAGAGATCCGGCACTAAGCAGGAAAGGAAATCATACTCCACCCTAGAGAGAAAGAATTGTATCACTTAGGATGTCAGCACCTGAGGCAGAGTCCTGGCTGCCCCATGCCAATTGTAGCTTAGCCTTTTACTGCTTATGCTGAAGATATGTTCCTGGCCTCCCAAGATGATTCTATGAATACTTTCTCCCTGCAGAAACATTGTCCCACACAATGCTTTCCCCCTTCCAGTGCTGTTGGTACGGTCCTGAACTTAAGGCACATTTAAGCCCTTGTGTGTTGACCTGGGGACTTAATTATAATTTATCACTGCATTGCTATGAGAAAAAATGTGTTGCTTGTTCCACACAACCAATTTACACATGAAACTTTGAATTGTGACCCTTAATTTGAAGTCTGCTTGAATATATAATTATTCATGTCGATTCGTTGAGAGAAGGGACTGTTTTATTCTTTGTGTTTGGATGCACAGTGCCTGGCATGTAGTAGCCACTTCATAAATGCTTGTCGATTACCAGCAATGCACGCCCTTCATCTCTTGTGTGGATGGAGAGAGAGTCGGGTTGGTACGAAAATGGGCAGAAGATCCAAAGTTCCCCTAGTATTAGGATGCCTTTTTCTTATACTTGTACAATTCATGCCCATTTTACTTGGTGTAGGATCCGAGTGACGGTGGATGGAGAGTTTCTGCATTACATTTTCCCCCTTCAATTCCTGGATTCTCCTGAATGGGATTCACTTAGACCCACAGAGGAGGGCATTTTTCAGGTAAAGCATGAATGAACTGCATAGTAAGCACTCAGTTCTCTGGATTATGGACAATATGAAAATGTAAAAGAAAAATAGTACAAAAATCATTCATTTTAATTAGTTTATACTTACTGTATAATGTCTTTCTTTTTTAAAAAAAAATGAGATTATGCCCAGCTCAAGCTTATAATACATGAACACATATGAAACTGACTATAGCTATGGCATACAATTGTATATGATAGGAAGAAACTAATGACAAATTTGAAAAATTGTTTCAGATAATCAAACTGTGTTTAATTCAGGCTGTACTTTTAAAGCTATTGGTGGACAATTATCAGTCTTTGGAATTCATTAGTAGGGCAATTTAGAAATAAACTAAAATTCAAAGATGTTTATTGCTAGAAGGAAGGTAATTTTGTATTTTCTAGGAAGTGTCATTTTCTTGGGCATCATGAAAAATTATCTGTTTGGCTCTATTGTATCTCGTTATTTTGAAAGTTGATGGCGAAGTAGGTCCCATCATTAGGTTTTACTTTTATTTCTATGGCTTCATATCTGAAACATACTCTTTTGTATAATCTACCTACGGTATTTTGTGTACAGAATGAGGGCATCCAAAAGTACAGGCCTTAAGATAGTTTTATTTTATTGTTTTTGTTTTGTTTGTTTGTTTTTGGAGGCAATTTGGGTTAAGTGACTTGCCCAGGGTCACACAGCTAGTAAATGTCTGAGGCTGTATTTGAACACAGCTCCTCCTGATTCCAAGCCCAGCACTCTATCTACTGCTCCACGTAGCTGCCCCAAGGTGGTTTTATTTTAAACAATACTGGACATCAGTAAAACTTATTAAACTTGCTTTGTAATAATTTACATATTTTTAAAAATAAATTTTAATGCATAAAATAGCATCAGAACTTTTTAGTCACTTCCTCCAACTCTCCATCAGAATTCTTTGTTTATCCATTTATTCCAATCCACTCCTCTCTTATATGATTGTAGCTAGTGCATTCCAGGTTTCCATTTTTCACTTTGTCTTATTTCATAAGTCTTTCTACATTTATATTTCTTGTCATTTTCAGTCTTAATTACACTATAGTACCTATTTTAGTAACATAACACAATTTATTTGACAAGGACCCTTTAATTCTAAATTTCACCAATTGCCTCCCCACCTCTCCCCCCATCCCATAATAGTTATACTATTAGCATCTGCTCTTTGGAAATATATATGTGTGTGTATCTATCTATCTATCTATCTATCTATCTATCTATCTATCTATCTATCTATGTATATATGTATGTATGTATGTATATATATGTACATTGTATATTATAACATGATATAATAAATATATAACAAAACATAAATTCACTTAAAGATATAACTGATTCCATCTTATATTTCTGTCATTTTATATATTATATATACATATTAATCATAATAGTATCTATATATATTTGAAAAATGTATAAGACATTATGTATTCAGTGTAGGGAAGGTGTATTTGCATATTTATGGATTCTCATGTGGATTCATAGGCCTGATAATTCTGTAACCCAGGGGTTGGGATCCATGGTTTTAAATCACAAAAGGGCCAGAAGCCTCTAAAACACAGGGCATCTTATTAAATTCTCAGTAGCTGCAGTCATTTTGGATACTTAACAATTCATAAACTTCATTCCCCCTGCCACACACACACACACACACACACACACACACACACACACACACACACACTTTTGGAATATGTTGTAGATTACCAAATTCTATTCTGAAATTTAAAAAGGAGTTAAATGAAGAATAGAGGAAATAAAATGGTAGGATGGTTTCCTTTTCTGATGTCAACAAAACCAATTCAAATGCTATCCACAAAGACAGAGGCTGCCTGTGTTTATATTTGGTCCCTTTAATCTGCTTGTTCATGGTCTTATGTTTTGCAGGTAACCCTCACAGCAGAGACTGACTGCCGGTATGTGGCTTGGAGGAGAAAGAAACTGTATTTACTCTTTGCTCAGCATCGTTTCATCTCCCGCCTGTTTTCTGTTTTAATTGGCAGTGATATTGCTGACAAACTCTATGCCTTGAATGACAGGGTACATATGGGGAAAGGCCATCGCTATGACATCCGGTTACCTAACTTCTATCAAGCTGCCACCCCAGAAATAGCCAGATCACCCCTGACAGAACATTTTCGGAAAAATACCAGAAGATACTGAGCTAACCATTTCCAAATGGTGACTTTTTTAAGCATAAAAAATTCTCTCTTTATCATTCCCAGAATTAAATAGGAAAATGAAATGTCAAAAGTTGAGTTCATCAATATTTTTATAAATCACACTGGGAAGTCACAGGGCCAATGCCTCTGGTTAAGAACAGCTATTTTCATGCACCATATCAATATTTTTTTTGTAACTAGTCTGCTCTTTTGTGCATCTCAAATACTTTGGCACAGTTAAGGAGCTGGTATTGATTTCTCTGGTGTGTCTGATTGTTATTCTTGTGGCGGGGGAGATCAATAATCATGATATGTATTTGGTGTCTCTTGCATCAGAACTGGAAAAGCAAAATTTTATATGCTCAGATTCTTTATCCAATTCATTCAAGCCTATGCCCAGTGACTTCTTTAGAGGAGCTGTACTGCTCAGCTTTCTCTCTCTCTCTCTCTCTCTCTCTCTCTCTCTCTCTCTCTCTCTCTCTCTCTCTCTCTCTCTCTCTCTCCTACCACCAATTTAGCTCAAAGCAAATGCTACATCAGCTGTGGCTTTCACAGTTGCTATTTGAAATGTTTGTTTTGATCCGTTACTGATAGAAACAACTTCTTGCTTTGTAGTGGGTAGAGATTGTTTATTTTCAATGTAATATTAGTTGATATTACTTTGCAAATAAAATAAATTCTAGATAACATAAAATGCCTCCTTAAAACACTATTTTTATGAAATATAAATAATACAAAGAAAAAATTACATTCAAGTAGTTCATAGAATACTATTATAAAAAATGATGCCATCAATGTCATTGCTGAGTCATCTAATTAGAAAAAAGTTACAAAGTGCTTCTTTCTATTGTTAATGTTATACTGAAAGAGCAAGAACTGCAATGGCACCAGATATACAATACATGTTGTAAAGCAACAACACAAACATGGAAGTCTTTTTTAAGACAGTGCCCGTAGACACTGAGCTGCTTTCAATACTTTTCATTCCTCTTTTCAAAAGATTGCCCATAAGTTGAGTTTTGCTGCTTTAAGGCAGACTTAAATCACAGAAATACCGTCTTCCTACTTCTTAGGGTCAGAGATCTACAATTTTGAAATATTTAGGGGCCTGCTGGTAAATATTTAACAACTGGCTCTTTGGAAGGAAACAAACAAAACCAAATCAAACCAACAATATACCCACAACACACTTTTTTTTTGAGGCAATCAGGGTTAAGTGACTTGCCCAGGGTCACACAGCTAGTAAATGTCTGATGCTGCATTTGAGCTCAGGTCCTCCTCCAGGGCCACAACATTAAAATAAAGCTGCAATACTAATATTTTCTCTATTACTTTCAAATCTAGAAAATCAACAAAACAATAAAGCAAGCCCTGATTTGAAGGGTTTGCTGATTTCCAAGGTATAAATGCTCCAATGAACATTTAATAATCTAGCTCTTGCAAGCCTCAGAGCATGTCCATAGAAAGGGACCTTAGTGGTCATTGAATCTAATGCTCTCATATTATGGCTATGGAAACTGAAGCCCAGAGAGATAAGGTGACAGAGTCACAGAGGTAGGAAGGAGCAAAGCCAGTATTCATCCCCACGTCCTTTTATTCTACCTTTCAGCAGCTACTATATATGGCTCTCAGTGGAATGCCTATTAGGAGTCAACTATGGAATCTTCTTCTAGTTTATCCCAAAGCTGTGTGACTCTTTATAAGGCCCTTAACCTCTCTCAGTCTCAAAAACACATTCTTCATAAGGTTCTTATGAGAATCAAATGAAATAATAAATGTATATTGCCTTGCAAGCCTTCAAGTATTTTATTAAATGTTATTGTTATTATTATCATTATCATTAGTATTCATTTGCTTCCAATACATTAGTGGATTGATGATCTCATCAATGTTAATACTCCTGCCAATAGGATTTAGGCCACCACAGGCAGATTCATTCCTGCCTATCCCATAATACTCATCCATGCCTGCCCAACATTGTAGAGGTCTTCTTCATGTTCTCTTCTTGCAGCATGGATACCAGTGGAGCACTATGGATTGTCCCTCCATTTTGCTATGTAACTTCATATTTTCTGGTCATACATGTCATCAGTAATATTCTTTATGGTATTTCTCTTGAATAATTCCATCATATGTAACATATTACAAACTGTGTTCTCCATGAACTTTTCCATTATTCTCTGGATCCAAGTCAACATCATTTCTTCAGACATTTCTTCTGCCTCCCTCCTCTTGGCAGAGAGGTGGGAAATTAGGAGGGTGGAAGCTTACCAGACATTGTGCTAAGCACTTTACAAATATTATCTCATTTAATCCTCAAAACCCTGGAGGGTGGGTGTACTTTGTAATCTCCCTCTTACATTTGAAGAAACTGAGACAAGGAGAGGTTAAATGAGACATGTCCAGGGTTGCATAGCAGCTGGATTTGAACTCATATCTTCCTGGCTCAGGACCCAGTGTTCTATCCCCTGTGCCACTTACCTGCAGGCAGATGCAGAGCAGCTTCCTGACTCCGTATTCATTTTCCATTTTTCTCTTTTCTGGTATTTTCTGGTACTTCCCATGTCTCATCTTTCTTAGGACAGTTTGAACTCAACTTTCCATTAGACACATTGCAAGCATTTCCTCCAACTAGATTCCATGCTATGGTGGTCATAACCTGCTTTTGGAAGGTGTAGTTACAAAAGAGAACATGTCTTTCCCTCCTTCCCACAACTCCCATTGAAACAGAATAGACAAAAAGGAATAGGAGGGCAGAGAAGATTAGGGAGTATGGAAGGGAAGGACTGAGGTGAATGGGGATGGGAGTGCAAGGAAGCAGGGCAAAGGATTTCTGCCTCAAAGATGGCAAGCCTAAATCACAGGGATAAAGGAACAGGAGGTGGGATTTTTCCAGATATTGAATTAGGGTAGAACCAGTTGATCAGGGCCCCCACATTCTAGAGTCCTTTGATAATTGAATATGGTGTCAGTGTGGAGACAGTACCATCAGCTTTTTCTAAACCCCAAGGTTTGGGGTTTTCCAAACCCCAAGGTGAGCAGAGATTTCTGGCCTGAAATATGGGTCAGTAAATATCTAGTAATCACATTGCTAGACTTGGACTGAGCTCATGGTTGGTTCTATTTCTGTAGTCTCACCCTAAGATGGTGGAGAGATGAAGTAAACCCATAAGCTACTCCACACATAAAGCATGCACCAGTTCCTGGTGTCTGGGGCTCATGGTGCTTCTGGATCCTCAAGGTTCTATATGATCAGCCTATATATGTTCTACAACCTGGGTCACCAAGGCAATTTGAGTGGCACTACTCCTGCTCCCTTCCAACATTTCCCTTAGGCTCCATATTTTGTGATTTCTTTTTCCTTTTAGTACTTTTCTTGAAATTCACCTGCACAAAAACACTGGGATATGATGATGATTGGGGTGGGCGGGCACAATGAGACTTTTCTCAGGTACCATATGTCTTACTTGAGGCTTATCATAAATAGACATAGAAAGGGTTCTCCATGTACGAGTTTACATTTTTCTTTTTTAAAAGGAAGATTTTAACTGTATGTGAGCAGGGTGGAAGTAGGGGTGGATAGAAATATCTAGAAAAGATTATGACATAGAAAAACATCAATATACCTTTTGGTTTTAATAATAGGCTTAGGAGGAGTAAAGGAGAAAAAATTAAAAGGATTAGAAATTATGATCAAGGAGGAGAATTTCAGATTGCAAGTGCAAGCTCATAGAGGTAGCACAGTTAGGGGTGATAATGAAATCTAAGCTATGACCCCTTTGAGGGTTGCGGAGGTAAGATTCTGTGATTCTGTGACCATAACCAAAAATATGTAAGGTAATAGCACCTGTCTTCATAAGAGTCATTGAAGAGCCCTCTTCCCTGTATATTCTACCCTCTTCCTTCCCCCTCGGTAATTATATGGTAATATCCTAAAGAATAGAAAAGAGTGCCGAGCTCTTCATGGTACCTGATCTTTGGAGCCACTGGACTCAGCACTTCCTTGAACTGGCCTTCTTCTCCACAACCACTCAAGATGCCTGAGGAAGTATAGCATGGAGAGGAGAAGATGAAGACCTTTGTCTTCCAGGCAGAGATTGCCCAGCTTATGTCCTTGATTATCAATACCTTTTATTCTAATAAGAAAAGCTTCCTTCAAGAGATCATTTCCAATGCCTCTGATGCCCCGGACAAGATCTGCTATGAGAGTCTGACAGATCCTTCCAAATTGTACAGTGGTAAAGAGCTGAAGATTGACATCATCCCCAACCCTTAGGGGCGTACTCTGACTTTGGTGGATACTGGCATTGGCATGACAAAAGCTGATTTGATCAGTAACTTAAGAACCATTGCTAAGCCTGGCACCAAGGTTTTCATGGAGGCTTTTCAGGCTGGAGCAGACATCTCCATGATGGGTCAGTTTGGTGTGGGTTTCTATTCTGCTTACTTAGTGGCAGAGAAGGTAGCTGTCATCACCAAGCACAATGATGATGAACAGTATGCCTGGGAGTCTTCTGCTGGTAGCTTTTTCACAGTCCATGCTGACCATGGTGAGCCTATTGGCAGGGGCACCAAGATGATCTTACATCTGAAAGAAGACCAGGGCTCAGATTCTTATAATCTAGCCAAGGGTTTAGATTCTTAAAATCTAGCCACTGCTCAGATTCTTAGAATCTAACCAATAGCTTACTAATGTTCAGACTCCTTAAGAGTCTGACCAATATGATGGATGTTCTAATAAACCTTATCTTTGGCTGAAAGAAGGCTTGGCTCTAATTCTTTCAGGCAGGATCCACATGATGTGATATTGAGGTCCCAACACCCTTAAACCCCTAAACCTCATCATTTTGGTGGCCCATATAGGGAAACTGTCTAACCCCAAATTCTTCTCCAGCCAAGACCAGAAGGTATGTAAGCCTCCACTCCCCCTCCTTTCTTGCTCAGCAGTTGGGGTTGCTCTTCAAGTACCAAGGCTTGGAGGCACTTTTTGGGCAGGCAGTTACAAGCCTGTCTCGCACATGGCCTGATGTTCTCAGGCTCTCAGTCCGCTGGGCTGGTTTGAGGCCATGGACCTGGGTACACCTTATGTAGCATAGAGGACAAGGACAGACACCCTATCTGGAAGTGTATGCCCAATTCTTTTAATTCTCTAGGTGCTAGAGAATTGGAGAAAACTGCAGTTGCTTTTTGGTTCCCTGAAGGCTTACTTACTCCATTCCCTCTACACCCCTGAATCCTCCTTCATGGAGGTTACAGGGAACAGTTAAAACAGCTAAAAATATCTTGGATTGATCATTAAGGAGTTTTGAAATTCCTCCTTACAACCTTAGTCACTCCTTTCTCCCACTCTCTTCCCTTGAGTCAAGAGGGTGTGTTAACCCCTCTCATAGGAGAAGAGAGTTTCACCCTTTACCCCTCACCTTTGATTTCACCTTCCCCCTCCTGAGAGAGGAAGGAGGGGGAAGGGGCAGCAGCTACAGCCTGGGTCCCACTGGCAATGGCCTTGGGTTCTGAGGCAATCTTTGCCTGGAAGCATCACCCAGGTTCAGCACATCCTGCTTAAGGTAAAGAAGCTGGCCTCTGAACTTGGGTAAGCACCCTCTTTTAAATTTATAGTTTTAACTGTTAATGATGAGATGTTGATTCTCTGTGTAAAGTAATTTGGAAATGCAGTTAACAAAACTGAAGTCACTTGTTTGGCAACAGGTTTGTTTCAAGTTTCAAATTGGCCAACTTTTTGTATCAGTTACTTCAAGCAACTTTTCATAATTTGGTTACTGCTAAAATAATTTGGCTATTGTTGGTTATTGTTTTAATGTATAAATTAGCCAAAGAGCTTGTTTGGGTTACGTATGGCTTGCTGAGAATTTGCAAGTGTATAGAAATCTCTAATGATTGGCTTTTTACACGAGAACAAATTTAAGTTTGAGATGTAAATTCTGGAAAAGTTTTTCCTAAACTATGATTAGTGAAACTCACTGTATGAGGTAAAAGTTCTAGGATTTTATTTTGAGTTATCTGATAGGCCATAATAATCCATCGATAATCAATAATCCACCATCTAAGAGAAACGCCACAAGCTACTTAGAGAATGTGATACTGGTGGGAAATGAGCATTGAGAAAAGCTAAGAGGACAATTTTAGCCTCAGTCCAAGATGGGATCCTCCTGGCTCAGTTTCTCCATCATGTTCCTTTGAAAAGGAATGTAAACCCACCTGGCTATTCCTGATTCTGGCTATGAAGTAGATTTGATACTGCACGGTTGGAAAATTGAATTATCTGAATCCGAACAGAGCTAAGCATGTTTTATCTTGTCATATCTAGGCCCTGCAGTCTTTTCTGTCAGATTCGTGTCTTCCAGACTACAGGCCATTCACCTACAATTGATAGCAAACAATGGGTACCAGCCAATGTCCCCCCATCGTTCCCTGGATGCAATCTGTGCTAGGTTCCAGTCAACCTCCTCTTTGGGACCCCCTTGAGGCAGGGACAGCTCTATACCCTTTACCAACAGGAAGCAGTTTCAGAAACCAAGACCTTTGCCCCTTACCTCAAAAGAATTTTTTGAGAGGAGAATGATGGGGTTGGGATCTAGACCCCAGGAAGGAAAAACCCATGTCTTTCTCACATGGCCAAATCTCTGGCATTGGCCTGAGGCTATAATCCCATCAACTGGCCTTTCATTGTGGCTATGCCCAATCTCTGTTACCCTTAATCTAGCCTAGCCCTCCTTTGTTTTATGTCCCTATGGCCCTGGGCCATTTCCCACCCTTAATCCTAGCTAGGCTCCATTCTCCCTTGGCCATGTGGTCCAGGTCCCTGGAGTTCTATTACCTCATAGACTACTTGGCCACTCCTAGATCCCTCCCATAGTCTTTTTGTATATAAGGTCCATCTTGTCTCCATTAAGATGCTCAGATTCTTATAATCGAGCCAAGGGTTTAGATTCTTAAAATCTAGCCACTGCTCAGATTCTTAGAATCTAGCCAATAACTTACTAATGTTCAGACTTCTTAAGAGTCTGCCCAATATGACAGATGTTCTAATAAACCTTGTCTTTGGAAAAGAAAAAAAAAGAGTATCTGGAAGAGAAGGGAGTCAAGGAGGTTGTAAAGAAGCACTCTCGAGAGGCGGAACCAAGATGGTGGAGTGAAAGCAGAGACTTGCTTGAGCTCTCCCCCAAACCCCTCCAAATACCTATAAAAAAATGGCTCTAAACAAATTCTAAAGCAGCAGAACCGACAAAAAGACAGAGTGAAGTAAATTTCCAGCCCAAGACAATCTGGATGATTGATCAGAAAGATATATTGCGCCCGGTGGGGAGAGAAGCGCAGTGCAGTGTGGGGGCACAGGCCACAGCAAACCTGGAGCAGGCTTCAGAGGACTGAATCGTGGGCAGCTGTGGTGGTTTCAAGACTTCTCAACCCACGAATGCCAAAGACAACTTAGAAGGTCAGTGGGAAAAGTCTGTTTCTGCGGTGAGATAGGAGCTAGGTCTCAGAGCCAGTTCCAGAGCACAGAGCACAGAGCACGGGCACCTGGGCGGTGGCTGTGTCCTGAGCTTCCAGCCCACAGACTGAGAGGGAATCGAGTGGCTGATCAGAGGGGGATTGCATGGATCTTTTTGCGTGTGTTGAGGCAGGAATCTCTTGCTTTGCCCACGCTTGGATCTGGGTCACAGTTCTGGGCAACAATCCCTGGGCAAGGAGGAGTGCTGGCATGGTGGAGCTTGTAGTGGCTGTGGAGAGGAAACCTTCCTCACAGTTCCATTACAAGTGGTCACTAATAGACCAGAGCACAGGCCAGGAAAGGATTAAACACCTCACCCCATATCATACCACCTTGCAAGAACTGAAAATTTACAGGTCCCTATGTGAGTATCTCTGAAAACAGCTGCATAAACCGCCGAAGCTTGGGGCAGTACATTCTCCACACTGGAAGCAGACTCTTATCTTAACAAAGAGTTTAAAACTCAAGTGATTGGCCAGGATCATGAGCAAACCTCACGAAAAGAGTCAGACTATATTATCTTACTTTGGTGACAAAGAAGATCAAAACATACAACCAGAAGAAGACAACAAAGTAAAAGCTCCTACATCCAAAGCCTCCAAGAAAAATATGAATCAGTCCCAGGATTTGGAAGAGCTCAAAAGGGATTTTGAGAAGCAAGTAAGAGAAGTAGAGCAAAAACTGGGAAGAGAAATGAGAGTGATGCAAGAAAATCATGAAAAACAAGTCAACAGCTTGCTAAAGGAGACCCAAAAAAATACTGAAGAAAATAACACCTTAAAAAATAGCCTAACCCAAATGGCAAACGAGGTCCAAAAAGCCAATGAGGAGAAAAATGCCCTAAAAAGCAAAATTGGCCAGATGGAAAAGGAAGTCCAAAAGTTTATTGAAGAAAATACTTCCTTAAAAATTAGAATAGAGCAATTGGAAGATAGTGACTTTATGAGAAATCAAGACACTGTAAAACAAATCCAAAAGAATGAAAAATAGAAGACAATGTGAAATATCTCATTGGAAAAACAACTGACCTGGAAAATAGATCCAGGAGAGAGAATTTAAAAATTATTGGACTATCTGAAAGCCATGATCAAAAAAGAGCCTAGACATCATCTTTCAAGAAATTATCAAGGAAAACTGCCCTGATTTTAGAACCAGAGGGCAAAATAGAAATTGAAAGAATTCACCAATCTCCTCCTGAAAGAGATCCCCAAAGGAAAACTCCTAGGAATATTGTAGCCAAATTCCAGAGTTCCCAGGTCAAGGAGAAAATATTACAAGCAGCCAGAAAGAAACAATTCAAGTATTGTGGAAACACAATCAGGATAACACAAGATTTAGCAGCTTCTACATTAAAGGACCACAGGGCATGGAATATAATATTCTGGAGGGCAAAGGAGATAGGATTACAACCAAGAATCACCTACCCAGCAAAACTGAGTATAATCCTTCAGGGGAAAAAATGGTCATTCAGTGAAATAGAGGACTTTCAAGCATTTTGATGAAAAGACCAGAGCTGAATAGAAAATTTGACTTTCAAATACAAGACTCAAGTGGAACATGAAGAGGTAAACAGGAAAGAGAAATCATAAGAGACTTATTAAGGTTGAACTGTTTACATTCCTGCATGGAAAGATGATATTTATAACTCATGAGACCTTTGTCAGTATTAGGGTAGTTGGAGGGGGGGAAATTATATGTAAATAGATAGATAGATAGATAGATAGATAGATAGATAGATAGATAGATAGATAGATAGATAGATGATAGAGGGCACAGGGTGAGTTGAAGATTAAGGGGTCATATCTGGAGAATAAAATTAAGGGATGAGAGAGGATTATACTAGAGAAGAAGAAAGGGAGAGGTAGAATGGGGTAAATTATTCACAAAAAAAACAGAAGAAAAGTCTCTACAGTGGAGGGGAAACGGGGAAGGTGAGAGGGAATGAGTGAATCTTATTCTCATAGGATTTGGCTTAAGGAGGTAATAACATACACATTCAATTGGGTATAGAAATCTATCTTACCCTACAGGAAAATAGGGGGAGGGACAAGAGAGCAGGGGGATGATAGAGAGGAGGGAAGATTGGGAAAGGGGGAAATCAGAAGCAAATACTTCTGAGGAGGGCAGGGTCAAAAGAAAGAATAGAATGGGGGGGCAGGAAAGGATTAAGGGAGAGTTAGTTTTTCACAACATGTCTACTATGGAAGTGTTTTGCATAACTGCACATGTACAACCTATATTGAGTTGCTTGCCTTTTCATTGAGGGTGGGTGGGGAGGGAGGAAAGGAGAAAATTTGGAACCCAAAGTTTTAAAAACACATGTTTAAAAAAAATGTTTTCACATGCAACTGGGGAATAAGAAATACAGGAAATGGGGTACAGAAATCTATCCTGCCCTACAGGAAAATAGAAGGGGAAAGGGATAAGAGAAGGGAGGGGGGAGAGATAGAAGAGAAGGCAGACCAGGGGAAGGGGTATTCAGAATGCATGCCATCTTGGGGTGGGGGGAGGGGCAAGATAGGGTGAAAATTTGGAACTCAAAATCTTGTGGAAGAAAATGTTGAAAACTAAAAATAAATTTTAAAAAATTGAAAGATCCACCAATAAAGGATCTCCCTTCAAAAAAAAGAAGAAGAAGAAGAAGAAGCACTCTCAGTTCATTGGCTATCCCATCACACTTTATTTGGAGAAAGAACAAGAGAAGGAAATAAGTGATGATGTGATGGAGGAAGACAAAGAGGAAGTGCCCGCTAAAGATGAGGAGAAACCCCACATTGAAGATGTAGGATCTGATGAAGAAGATGGAGGCAAGGCTAAGAAGAAAACCAAGAAGACTGAAGAGAAATATGTTGATCAGGAAGAGCTGAAAAAGACCAAGCCCATCTGGACACATAACCTTGATGACATCAGCCAAGAGGAATATGGTGAGTTTCACAAGAGCCTCACCAATGATTAGGCAGATCACTTGGCAGTAAATCGCTTCTCTGTGGAAGGTCAGCTGGAATTCAGAGCTCCTTTTGATCCTTTGAAAACAAAAAGAAGAACAACATTAAACTGTATGTATGGCATGTGTTCATCAAGGACAGTTGTGATGAGCTTATTCCTGAGTATCTTAATTTTATCCAAGGTGTGATGGACTCTGAGGATCTGCCCCTCAACATTTCCAGAGAGATGCTGCAGGAAAGTAAAATCTTGAAAGTCATCCATAAAAACATTGTCAAGAAGTGTCTAAGGGCAGCTAGGTGGCACAGTGGATAGAGCACTGGCCCTGAAGTCAGGAGGGCCTGAGTTCAAATCCAGTCTCAGACACACAACACTCACTAGTTGTGTGACTCTGGGCAAGTCACTTAACCCCAATTACCTTAAAAAAATGTCTAGAGCTCTTCTCTGAACTGGCATAAGACAAAGAGAATTACAAAAAGTTCTATGAGGTCTTTTAGAAAAACCCAAGGCTTGGAATCCATGAGGACTCCACCAACAGGTGCCGTCTATCTGTGCATATCTAGAATGAAGGAAACCCAGAAAAGCATCTACTATACCACTGGTGAGAGCAAACAGCAAGTGGTCAACTCTGCTTTTGTGGAACAGGTATGGAAACATGGTTTTGAAGTAGTATACATGACAGAGCCCATTGATGAGTACTGTGTGCAGCAGCTAAAGGAATTGGATGGGAAGACCCTTGTCTCTGTTACTAAGGAAGCATTAGAACCTTCAGAGGATGAAGAAGAAAAGAAAAAATGGAGGAAAGCAAGACAAAATTTGAGAACTTGTGCAAGCTAATGAAGGAAATTCTGGATAAGAAGGCTGAGAAAGTGACAATCTCCAATTAGCTGGTGTCTTCATCCTGTTGCATTGTGACTAGCACATATGGCTAAACTGCCAACATCGTGAAGGCACAGGCGTTGAGAGACAACTCCACAATGGGTTACATGATGGCCAAGAAGCACCTGGAAATAAACCCAGATCACCCCATTGAGGAGACTCTCAGACAGAAGGCTGGGGCTGACAAGAACAACAAGGCTGTGAAAGACCTGGTAGTGCTGCTTTTTGAGACAGCTCTGCTGTCTTCAGGCTTCTCCCTTGAAGATTCCCAGACTCACTCAAATTGAATTTACTGCATGATTAAGCTAGGTCTTGGCATTGATGAGGATGAGGTGACAGCAGAAGAACCTAAGGTGCTGTTCCTGATGAGATCCTCCCCCTTGAAGGAGATGAAGGTGCATCCTGAATGGAGGAGGTAGATTAGACAAACCTCTCCATCAGATCCCACCCTCTGTATTTTCTCACAGCAGCAATAGAAGCCCTGTCCTTGCCTGGTTCCATCTGCCAATGTCTGGTTAGTTTTTTTCCCCCCTGTTTTCCAGTGTATTAGGGCAGGATTTACAGGGTCCCTACTCCCCCTCTTCTGGTATGGGGAATAGGATGTGTATTGTGGGCTGTTAATGTTTATTTTGTTCTAAAATTAAAATATGCAGAATAGAGAGAATGCAGTTTTTACATGAAAAAAAAAGAACAGAAAGGGAAGGATTAATCTATTATCTCAGAGCCCAGTTAAGTAGGACCATAGAACCAGAGATTTAAAGCTAGAAGTGGTGTTCAAAGCAATTTAGTCCAACCCACTCTTTTTACAGATGTGGACAATAAGACCTAAGTGATATGCCCAGGATCACATAGCTTATAGCAGAGGTGAGCCTCAAAACCAAGTCTTCTAGACTCCAAGTCTGGCACTCAAAGTACCACCCCATGGGGCTGCCCCATTATAATGAGCCATATAATTATAGTTGGGAGACTTATACAACTGTAAAAGATATAATTGTAAAAGATAGGTAATCTGAAACAAGGTGTAGTCAATTTAATTCAATAAGCATTTATTGAGTACTTTGCATGGTGCTGGGGCAGCTAGGGCACAATGGATTGAACCCTGGGCCTAGAGTCAGAAAGACCAGAATTCAAATTTGACTTCAGACCCTTACTGGCTGTGTGACCCTGGGCAAGTCACTTAAACTTTGCTTGTATAAAACAAGGGAAAGAAATAGCAAACCACTCCAGTTTCTTTGCAAAGAAAACCCCATGGACAGCATTAAAAATGCTAAAATGAATAAGTAAATAAATAAGCAAATAAAAGACATGACATTGGAAGATGAGCCCCTCAAGTCAGAAGGGCTGACCACAGGGTCTCGAAGAATCAGACACCACTGAACAAAGGATGCTAGTTACTAGTGAAATCAACATTTGCTTTCACTAAACTTACATTCTTCTGAGGGCTTTACATTTGACTTAGTTCAAACTGAATGTAGAAACAAGAATTTCAGACTAACACGCACACAGGAGATAAGCTCTGACTCATTGATCTCTGAGATAGGAAAGCCTTTTTCAATGGGATTTAATTGTATTCTCTGCTCTTTAGAAATAAAAAATAGTCCATCAAAATGCTTCAAATAAGAAAATATTTCTTAGTAAAAAGTCTATTTTCATGTATTTGTATAGGAAAACAAACCAGGCTGATCAATTCCATCATGCTTTCTTTATTCTAATTATTTTAGACAAATACAGTTAATAGGAAACAAATAAAAGTAGCATGGGATACTAGAATCACTTGTGTATTTTATGATTAAATGCTGTTATTGTCATTCATCCTTTGTTTTTTAAGAGGACCAATAACATCATGATGGTGATGCCTTGACTGGCACATGAATTGCGTTTAAGTGAGGCAAAGTTACACAAAGTCATCAGCCTCACTCAGTGTTCCAGAGTCATCAAAGTCCAGAGGCAAGACAAAAGTTAGGACCGCCAGCAATGGCTTGGTATGTAGTGGATGACCTTGGCGTCTTCGATGTCTGACCGAGCTCTAAGAGCTCCACAACACCTGTTTCAGCCTCCTTCATGGCCGTTGGTACAAATTATTCTCGTCTGCCCATTCAACCAGGGGAAGTCTTCATATGCTCAGGATAAACATCCCCCCAACTCACCAACTTGTTTCTTATCTGCCACTAATTTTACCGGAGTATGGCTGCAGCACATGCTGCTACTTCTTGGAGCCACCAGTGAGAGTTGAGTGCCAGGTAGACACCAGAGTGGATGAGCCATCCTGAAAAAGCCTTGGCAAGTTCTCACAGCAGAGATGCTAGTCCTCCCTAAACATCCCATTCACCCCATGAGTAAATGCAAATGAACCTGGCAGAATTGGGCACTATTTCTAAAACAAATAAAACTTCCTCTAGTAAAGTAGTGAAAAGAAGTGAAGTAAGAAAATGTCATATCTTACCCACCTGGCCACAGGCATAGCAATTTTTTTTAAATAAAAATTTTTAAGTTAAAAATTGAAAATATTTAATTCTACTTTGATGGACCAAAGATTTATTGCTGGACAAGACATTAGAGGTCATCAAATCCAACTACCTCATTTAAGAGAGGAGGCACCTAGAAAGTCTAGAAAGGCTGAACTGACCAAAGTCACACAGGGTGTAAGTGGCACTCTTCAGAGGTAGACTCAAGTTCTCTGGTTCCAACCCCTATGTTTTTCCATTACACCAGATCTGTGATCTCATAGATGTGGTTCCTGCCTCCACCAGTGCAGACTGTGACCTCTCCATGCCTTCTGTCTTGTCCCTGTCCTATTGCAAATCTACCATAGGAAACCAGGCAAGAATCATTGAGTTTTACATTTGCATAAAATAGTATGGCGTTTGGATATAATTTTTAATTTTATCATTATGCTAAATCTAAATATATTTACAATCTGCTGGCAATTAAAGACAGGCAGAATTATAAGACACTTTCATTGGTAGTGATATTTTGGGGGAAAAGCACATTTAGGCTTGAAAAACTTCCTAACCATTAGAGCTGTCCATAAATAGAAAGAGATGCTTCTGGTTTTGTTTTTTTGTTGTTTTGTTTTGTTTTTGCTAGGCAATGGAGTCAAGTGACACACCCCGGGTCACACAGCTAGTAAGTGTTATGTGTCTGAGGCCAAATTTGAAATTAGGTCTTCCTGACTCCAGGGCCAGTGCTCTATCCACTGTGCCATCTAGCTGCCCTGAAAGGGTTTCTTCTGGAGCTGATAGGTACCCCTTTCTTGGAGAGAGGTGGCTACTTGTCAGGTATGATATAGTAGGGACTCCTTTTTGG